CTCCTCTCTGCAACTACAGTACAGCTTGCAAAATACAGACTTTTGCACACTTCTTCTCTGTCTTAAAATTTGTGTAGTTAGATTCTAAACAGTACAAAGGGTCAGAATAATAGAGATGGAAGGGACCTTGGGGGTCTTTTAGTCCACCCCCCTCCTCAAGCAAGATACCCTATAGCAGTGTTTCTCAACCTTGACCATTTTAAGGCATGTGGACTTCAACTCCCAGAATTCCACAGCCAGCAATGCTGGCTGTGGAATTCTGGGAGTTGAAGTCCACATGCCTTAAAATGGTCAAGGCTGAGAAACACTGCTTTTAGCATTTCAGATAAATGGCTATCCAATTTCTTCTTAAAAACTTCCACTGATGGAGCACCCACAATTTTTGAACAAAAGCCATTCCACTGATTAATTGTTCTGTCAGGAAATTCCTCCTCAGTTCCAGGTTGCTTCTCTCCTTGTTTAGTTCCCCTCCGTTGCTCCTTGTCCTGTCTTCTGAGGCTCTGGAGAATAGGTTGACCCCCTCCTCTTCTTTGTGGCAGCCCCTCAAAGAGTGGAACACCACTATAAGGGCACCCCTGTCATGATCAGGCACTAGAGCAAAACCTGAGAAACGGTGAGAAATGTGCCAGATTTGGACACTGAGAATTAAACAGAATGGGCCAGCATTTGTGGCTTGACCCAGGACCGCAGGGTCATGTGACGTGTCGCAACATATTGTGACTTTTCCCCATGGCTGTCCATGGGGTGGGCGCGGTTTCGGTGACGCCTCAGGTCCGTGGGCCGCCAGTTTGACACCCCTGCAATACAGCTTTTCTGACTATCTTGTCAAAGGCTACTTTAAGAAGAAATTCCTTCTTAAATTCTATCACAGCCAATGATAGCTTATCAGAAAACTGGGCCCCTCAGACTTTAGACATTTACGACTCTCAGACTTTAAACTTAGGAACAAATATTAGCTTCATCACCTAACCTTTGGAAGCAAACTTGTTTCTGAAAGTGAGATAAAATGCATACGAACTGGGTTATGGTATTTTAGGAGCTATAAAGAATCTAATGGCATATTTTGGCCTGTTCATAATTTTGCAGTTCTTTATGGATGACTCAACAGTACAACTTGGCTTACAATCAGCAGCAAATATTAATTATTGGATAAAAATAATAATTTATTCATTTAATAGGTTTCTTAATTTCTCTAGAATTCATGTACATAACTACTACAGTTAGGGGAATAATGCACTCAGGCATTCAATCAAGGACACTTAGAACCAGAATTTTTAGCTATCCAGCATTATAAAGCTAGAAGAGAGAGAGTGAACACGAAGCACTACTTTTATGCAGAAATTATCTTTATGAATGTTGTACATTTCAAATTTCACTTGAGTCTGAACTGCCAAGCACCAAATCCCAGTTGGAGCAAAATGCGGCTACCTGAGAACTGAAAAAGGAGTTTTGAATTACAGACAGTCCTTGACTAATAACCATAACTGAGCCTGCAATTTCGGATGTCAATGGGGTCATGTGACTCTGTACCCAACTTTGCTATTTTTTTGCAACGGTCATTAAGTGAATGTGGCAGTCGTAAAGCAAACCTCTTGTTTGCTATGAGGCATTTTTCATGGAAACCGAACACCACTTTCCAGAAAAAATATGGCAAATCGGTCACATGACTCTGGGATGCTGCAAACAGCTGGAAATGGGGGAGACGTTGGCCGAGTGCCCAGAACGCGGTCACATGATCAAGCATGGGGGGGGGCAGATGTCAGAACTTTGAATCCAGGTTGTAAGGCTCTTTTTCCAAGTCCTTGATAACTGTAAATGGTTATTAAGCAACTAGTCATAAGTGGGAGGACTACTGTATCTTTCTCTCTTGGGCATAGAAAGCTAACCATAGTCAGGCTGGTGATGTTCTACTCTCTAAAGTTTGCTAACATCCAGACTTGGTTAATTATACACTAAATCCTGACTTTTGGGGGCGAATTGAAAATTAATCTGTTAAAAGGCCTCCCGTGACTGTGCTAAGGTCAAAGTTCAAGATGCCTCCAGGTTAAGCTAAGCTGGTCATTCCATGGACAAAACCATGAACTTTTTTTTCTGGCAATAAGTTTCCCGCTGCCTCTTCCAGGGTGATTTCCCACCCCTGGTGCCCAAATGCTAACCAGGCCCAACCCTTCACTTCAAAGCCCAGGTGAGATTGGGCAGATGATGCTGCTGCCTGCCGAGACCTGCCAGAGCTCACCCACAGCGTAGTGTTCTTAGTTGGCCTTCCGCTGCTCAACCAAATTCATGAGAAAGAGGGGCACGGAAAGCTTGCTGGCCGTAGATAGTAGTCACATGACACACACACACACACACACACACACACAATCGCAACTATCCTAAATACATGCCAATTGCCGAGCACCTGGATTTGGATCATGTGACCCTGGGGGATGCCGTGATGATTGTAAGCATGAGGAGCAGTCATCCCTTTTTTTCAGTGCCGTTGTAACTTCAAATGGCTGTTCAGTGGATGGACGTAAGTCGAGGATTGCCTGTACTTCAAAAATGAACCTTGGTTCCGTTTTCAACAACTCCACTTTTTTTTGTGGTTAAATAAGTAACTGAAATGCCTTGCTGTTAAATAAATAACAAATGAGGCAAGACCCTTCATTTGCACACATCGATAAGTTTTGAGAATGCAAAGAGCTCCAGAATATTTACCAAATTTTGCCAAAATATTTACCAAGCTCCCCTAGAACTATATTATTATGAAATTACTGCACGATACTCTTTGGCATTGCAATGGGAGGTTGGGACATAGCTATGAGAATCTGCCACCATTCACTATAAATCCCGCTGGGAGTTAAGCAACATCTGGAGGATTTTGGCTCGCTTTCAGAGTTCTGAAATAATCTCTAATTTCTCTTCTGCTCTTAAATCATTCTTTGTAATTTCTCTCCTTGGAAATGTCACATCTCTCTTCTCACGCTCTAAATATCCTCAGATACAGACCTGGGAGTCCCACGTCTGTGTCAATTTAGCCGTTCCCATTCTGATCACCAAACACGAAGGACTGCTATTTCCCAGCTTCATATATTGTGAACTGGACTCATTGAGTTTGGAAAAAAGCATTTCCATTCGAAATGGCTAACACAAAGTAACGCTCATAGAGTTTCTTATCTAATAAATCTCCTTAAAAATTAGAGCGCCTCAACTCTGAGTCGCTAAAAATCACTAAACATAACACACTAAAATGCCTGATTTTTTTAGCTTTGGTATTAATATTATTTTTTGTGGAGATTTTTTTCAGTAAAAAACATCACCAAATACAAAATATTTTTTGTTTCCAGGTTAGAAGAATGTTTCACCCCTTCGCTCAACAAAACTGCAAACCTTCTGAAGAAGCCAGCCTCTCTACCCACTCCTAACAGCTGGCTTTACAGTATATATATGGACGGGACCTTGGAGGTCTTCTAGTCCAACCCCTTGCTCAGGCAGCGAAACCCTATACCAGGGGTCTGCACCCTTGGCCACTTTAAGACTTGTGGACTTCAGTTCCCAGAATTCCTCAGCCAGCATAGGAGCTGAAGTCCACAAAGTTGTGAAGATTGCAGACCCTTGCCCTATGCCATTCCAGACCAATGGCTGTCCAGTCTCTTCTTAAAATCTTCCAGTGTTGGAGCACCCACAGCTTCTGGGATGCTTCAGGGTTATTTGCCTAAACCAGGGCTCTTCAAACTTGGCCACTTTAAGACTTGGGGACTTCAGTTCCCAGAATTCCTCAGGCAGCATAGGAGCTGAAGTCCACAAAGTCTTAAAGTTGTGAAGATTGCAGACCCTTGCCCTATACCAGGGGTAGGCAACCTTGGCTCTTTTATGACTCGTGGACTTCAACTCCCAGAATTCCTGAGCCAGCACAGCTGGCTCAGGAATTCTGGGAGTTGAAGTCCACGAGTCATAAAAGAGCCAAGGTTGCCTACCCCTGCCCTATACCAATCCAGACCAATGGCTGTCCAGTCTCTTCTTAAAATCTTCCAGTGTTGGAGCATTCACACCTCCTGGAATGGCTTCAGTGTTATTCGCCTAAACCAGGGCTCTTCAAACTTGGCCACTTTGAAGACTTGGGGACTTCAGTTCTCAGAATCCTGGGAGTTGAAGTCCACCAGTCTTTGAATTGCAACTCACTACCTCGCAGCCTCAAATTAACCTTGCATTCCCCGGGATAACAAAGGCCACCCAAAGAACTGCAAGGAAGCACACGGGAAAAAAATCGGATTTTATCTCCAGGCCCAGTCGGGGCTCGACCGCTGTTCAAGCCGTCACCCAAGTTTTGCAATTAGTTTCTTTTTCTGAACTTTTCCGTCTGGCGGGAAAGGAGCGGGAGAAAGGGGGGGAGGGGCGCAAAGGGAGGGGGTATTCCAAGGCCAGAGGGGGAGGGGGAGAGCCCTGGGGGGGGAGGGTGTCCCCACTTATTTAGGGGGGCGGGGGGGCTGCCTTACCTCGGAGCAGAGCCATGGCTGCGGCCACACCGGCTGCCTCTCTCCAACCCGCTCCCCCCCCCCCGCGCCCCGGGTTGGCAAGTCGCAGCCCCGCCCCCGCCCCTCCCCCCGCCTTGCAAACCCCGCCCCCGCCCCTCCCCCGCGCCGGTCGGTTGGGGGGGTCCGCCAGGCGAGGAGGGCAGAGGTAGGCAGGGCGTTCCCTCCCGGGACACCCCGGGGCCCATCGTCCCCAGCCCTGGATTCCCCCTCCCCGGGGAGTCCGTGACGCCCCCCCGGGCCTTGGGCTGTCTGGGTCGTGCAGGCCGGGGATTATGGGAGAGGGAGTCTGCAGCCCGGGCCGGGGCAAGGGGGGAGCCCCTCGGGAGGGCGGGGAGGCGGACAGGGAGCAACCCGCCTGATCCTGACTGTGGGTTATGGACCCTGGAGTCCAAGGGCGGGGAGGGGCTGGAGGGCGCGCGGCCCCCCCTCGCTTCCCCTCCTGCCTCAGCCGGGCGGGGATTCGCGCCGCGGCCGCCGAAGGGGGGGGGGGGGCAATGCGCGGGAAGGGGCGGGGCTTCCGCCCAGGCGCTTCCTGTCCTGCCCGTCTCCCCGGCAACGCGGCCTTCCCGCTCCCGGAGGGCCCTGAAGCCGGGAGGGCTCGCGGGAGCCCCCACCCCAGACCGGGGCTCTCTCCCCCCGCCGGCGGACAGGGGAGTCCCCGGGGGCGGGGGTCCGCAGTCCCTCGTTCCCGGCCGGCCCAGGCGGCGGGGCTCCCGGCTGGAGAGGGCTGCACTGGGCGAGCGAGGCCGGAAGGGGAGTTTGGGTTTTTTTCCCCCTGATTCTGCTTGAAGAAACGGCGGAGGTTTTCGGCCTCTGCTGCCTCCTCTTCCTCCTCCGAAGGCTTCGCCGCCGCCCCGGGATTCATTCTGGCTTTCCGGCGCTCCAGGCCCCGAGGGATAGTCTGGCGGTTTCAGGATTAGCTCCGAATTGAGCCCCTAAAAAGCTAGAAGTGCTCAATTCCTTTTCGTCTTTCAAAGCAAGAACTGGGAAAGCCTGGAGCAATCGGGGTTTAGTTCCGCAGCTGAGAGTTATTTCTGATCAAACTGCCTTTGGAAAAACGAGGAGGTTTCCGCAAAAGCCAAATATAAGGAAGAACAAGGGCATCTATAATCTCAGAATCGAAATTTGTCCATTAATATTAAAATTTAACTGTTATTAGCCATACAAGAGAATCTGCAAATCGTAGTAAAATGGCTCTGAATTTCAGTATTGTGAGATGGAACAGATGCTAACATTTGGAGAGAGGAGGAATATTTCTTTGTGGGGTGGCCTGTAACTTTTTATATTTCGTTCTTGTTTTATTGCAGGGGAAATAATTGGTTAGCCGCTGAGTGCTTTTACAATGGAAAAATATGAGTCAGCAACTATTGCAAAAAGTTACAATTCTCAGTTTGTAAAATATGTCAAACCTATTTTCAGCAAATTAAAAACAATACTACATCTGAAATGCGTCTTTGCTGTGGAATGCTCATCCTATTTGAATGGTTATTTCTTGGAAATATATATGCACTGTTACCTTTTAAGAATTGTGGGAGATGCGCTTTCAAGAAGCTGGCTAAGGATTATGCATTGTCAAATGTAAGTGAAGAACTAATTGAAGAGAACTCAATGCTATCATTGATCAAATGTGAATTTATTAATTCACATAATATAAATCAATTATTACGTGTATTAATCAAAAATCATTAGTGACTTCAAATAAAAAGGCTAAGAGATATTTCTCAAAACTGGTCACTTGACTTTAATTGCTGCAAACATTTGTTATTTTCAGCAGGAATTACAGAAATACTACAAACCTGTTTTAGAGCGGCAAGAAACAGCTCATCTGTTTATAGCACCAATCAATAAAATGGATGCATAATATGAAACCAGGTGTTACTGGAGAAGATCTTGATGCCTAGAAGACTTGACAATTGAAAAAGAGGCCACCAAGAGACAAGGTGTGCTAGATACTGTCACAAGAACTCAGTGACAGTCCTGGCAAAAGGATGTCCATCAGGTCATGAAGAATTGAAAGTACCTGAATGACTGAAGAACATAAAGCTGTTCTAAGACATCATAGCCCTCTCTAAAAATAGCAAGCATTCCTTGCTCAATAATGGTCATGATGGTGACTTGCATTTCTCTAACCCAGGGGTAGGCAACCTTTGGTCTTTTGTGACTTGTAGACTTCAACTCCCAGAATTCCTGAGCCAGCCATGCTGAGGGGAAAAGGAGCCATGCTGGCTCCGGAATGAAGTCCCCGAGTCATAAAAGAGCCAAGGTTGCCTATCCCTGCTCTAACCAGTTTTGCTAATGGACCCTCACTTGGAATGGAGATCCCGTATAGCGGGCTGAATCCTGAAAATCATTTTGACAGTTGTGCATACAGGGCAGTAGTGATGGACTATTCTTGACTCTCCTTGCACAATTCTATACAAATATTTGCAAGGGCATTTCGCTTTGTGATAATGTTTCTGATCTGTCTGGTTCACGTTGACTTAATTTGTGTGCTCAGAGCCTCTGCGTGGTTAATAATAGAGATCCTCATAAATCCATCCTCTCAAAAAGAATAAATAATCCCACCCGTAAGATACAATGTCGTGCATTTGCTACGTTCTGCTTTTTGGTCACCCCTCACTCTCCTCCTGTGTTTGAGGGAACCACCAGGTCTTGGCAGCTCTCCTGAAATCCAGGAGGAAAGGAGCAAACTGGATCTCCTAGGTATAGGGAGGTGGATCCAGAAGGTCTGTTTTGTGACACCTTTGTGTGGTGGTCTGACTGAACTGGCAGATGGATATGGGAGAAGATGGCTCCTTAGTGAGGACCTAAGGTGCTGCCAGCCAGCATCTTGAATGGCATCCAGGAACCCGGCCGACAACCCTGAAGTGGTGGTTGGACACAGGATGCAGGGAATTTCTTGGGATTCGCCCACAATGCCCCTGCGACGGTTGCGTCTTGTATCACTGGGAGTGCCTTCCAGGGAAAACCCCGACTGGGGCACCTAACAGAGGGTCCCATTTGGGGAGCGTGGCCCCTTCCTGCCATTGCTGGTCTGTGATGAATAGCCCACTGCGCAATCCGAGTTCTGTGTGGAACTGAATGACGAAATTTGTGCTGACAAAGGCCTCTGAGACCAAAGCTCTGGTAGCCCCGTAGTCTTTCCTTGGTTGCTGGTGCACAGAGCCCAAGGCACCGAACGAAGGTCCAAGGTCAGCTGGGCAGAAGCCTTTGTGATCGGGGTTGGCTGGGATTGCGAAGATCAGTGTTAAAATCAACTGTGCAACTTGGTAGGTGACTCTGAACTACTAGTTTTTCATTCTTTACCCTTCTCAGTGTATCTGATTATTCGTCTACTTACATGCAGTGCTTGTAACCTGCCCCAGTCCCATAGGACTGGAGAGTGTATAACATCAAAGGAAAACATATTTGAAATAAAAATGAAGTACAGATCAATATCAAAGAAAAAAATAAAAGAATATAAGGAAAATGATTTGTTCAAGTCCCCAGAAAGCAATAATTTTTTTAACTTACTTAGCGTCTTTACTGCCACGTTTTGAGTCCCCCATTCAAGGCTCTGGAATGATAAGGTAATCTGAGCATTTAAATTCAGTTCATTGAATGGCTAAAACTGAATATTTACCGTACTCTGAAATGAGCATTCTGACAAGACTTTGCCACCTCACTGGTTTGTTCCAAAAATTAATGTCAAAAGATCAGTTCATCTTAAAATTATGGAAAGCATATTTTAAAAATATTCTGAAATCAGAATAGTGCAATCCGATGCATCTCAGTTTTTATACTTCTGAGGTTAGCTGGACTTAATTCTAGTAACAGGCATATTTAATTTTCACATAACAGTGGAGTTTAAAGTGGACACTTCTGAAAGGGCCAGACTATTAATATAATAATCATAATAATAAGTTGGAAGGGACCTTGGAGGTAATCTAATCCAACCCCCTGCTCAGGCAGGAAACCCTATACCATTTCAGGCAAATGGCTGTCCAGTCTCTTCTTAAAAACTTCCACTGTTGGAACATTCAGTGCTTCTGGAGGCAGGTGGTTCCACTGGTTAATTGTTCTCACTGTCAGGAAGTTTCTCCTTAGTTCCAGGTTGCTTCTCTCCTTGGTTAGTTTCCATTCGCTGCTTCTTGTAAGTAATACAATGTAATACATTGTAAGTAATACAATGATAATGTGCTGAGTCAATGGTGTATTTTTTCTCTCTTGGTATCTCAATTGATACTGTTGCTAGGACTGGTCTGTATGCTCCATTAAGAATTTAGAATTTTAAAGTACGCATCCCATATAGCAGGTATCCATTGAAATATATTTTAGGAACTTTCCTCCAACAGACCACTTGGGTTTGATGTTCATCAACCCAACTATATTTGCTTCCAAAAATACTTTACAATAATTTAAGACGCAATCTTGTGATGGCATAATGAAAGCTGTACCACTGTAACTTTTACACGTGACGCTTGGAACTCCAGAAGGAAATATGGCTTTATACTGTAAATGTATTAGAAAGAGTTTATAAAACGAATCACTTTCTCGCTCTTTTAGAATGAGCTTTGAAAGTGGACACTAGCAATGCTGGAAAGAAAAGCAGCATGCAGAAAAACCAGCCAAGCCAGCTTTTTATTCCAAAATATTTATTTCACAATATTTTATGCACAGTGGAATGATGGTGACTTTGACAGTCACTTTCCTATAGATGTAATTTACCCAATTGTTGTAACTGGAAAAATAATTTTTAACAGCAGCAATATTTCATCCACTCTTGCAGTTTTAATCAAGCTGGGATGATTATAAATTGGGGTGGGCTCACCTCATTTCATGTGTCATGAATAATTCTTTAGGTTTTATGGGAGTTATCTTTCAGTATATATAAAAAAAAGTTTTGAAGACAGAGGTGTAACTTGCTCATGCAGTATAAGCTGATTGGCATGGTGGACAGTCAGCTACATCTATAATGCTAGAATATTCTGACTATTGCATTCTATTATAGCTTAACAGTCAGGAAAAGAAGAAAACAATGCTGGAATAAGGGAGAAATTACTTGACTGTGTGTAGTATAACTTGAAACTTTGCAATCTCAGGTGTCCCTATGTACAGACAAGTCTCGCTAATTCTCGCACGCTTGAGATGTGGAGTATTTAAAAAATTCTTCATAGTTAATATCAACGAATGAATATGAATAAATATGCATTTCTTGCAGTTTTTAATTGAAGAGAGTTGGCCATATATTTCTTTTTTTAAAAAGTTCAAATTAATACAACAGGAATTACTGAAATCTTTCCATGCTGATTGTCCTAAACCAATAGAAGTTATATGTAAGGCTGCACATTTGTTAACATTATTAATTGGATAGCTATAAATACTGTAATCAAGTATTTTATTGATGTTTATTTTAGTGTTTTGTAGGTCTTTAAAAAATTTTCCAAGATTCCCAATTTGGACTCCTCAGAAGCTGGGGAATCTAACTTTGTGGAGAAAATCAATTCAAATCCGTGTTTGGATCTTTTTTATGGACTTTTATAGATGTCTAAATTCATGTGCAATTTCATTAGTTTATATACAAATCCAAAGATAATTTAGGGTAACATTAAATTATTCTCCAAAGTTGTAATACTCAGTTCAGAAAAATGCTGATTGCAAATGCTAATGTAAAGGCATGCGGAAGGAAAGAATTCAGTCAAAAACTATAAACAGATGAAATAAGTGACACAATCTATTTTTTTGATCTGTGCTAAAGTATTTTTAAATCAAAGAAATAGTCAATTAAAGACAGAGAAAGCATATTTGTGCATGGCACTGCCAGTGAATTGGCTTTTTAAAAAGAAAAACTCAAAAGTTATCTTAAAAACAGATCACAAAAGTTACAGACAGCAGTTATTTAAACACAAGTTCCTTCAGTAAATCCAAGTTTGCAGATAATTACAAATATTCAATTTCTATCTGTTATACTATTTTAAAAATGTACAGCTATTATATACACAATATAAATTAAATTTTCTTGCAGCCCTGCAGAGAAATATTACCATTAAGTAGAGCTTTAGCCACACTTTATAAATACATTTTCTAAGATTCTGTAGAAGCGTTGCATCTTATTCTGCAACTTTAGTCTGCCTGGTAAGAATTAAATACACCGACGTATTTAGAAGCTTTGCAACATTTGAGGATTTTTAACATATACAGTTTATACAAAAACTGAAGCTTCTTGCCAAATGGAATCATAACACTTCCACTTGCCCAGGTTAGTTCCACATTATACCAGAGAATTTGGAAATAATTGCTTACTAGCACTTTTTAAAGGTGATAGATAGGATCACAGTTGGCAAAGTGTCCCCTTCTCACACCTGTTTTTTCGTGGGAGACAAAAGGTCTGATGTGCAGGAGTAAACTGGTCATCATGGGTGAAAACGTACATGGCAGTTTCACTATCACTTTGGCTCAAGTGTTACTTTTCAATAAAGTGCCTCACTTTTACATTATTTTACTGATGGCGAGTAAGCCTAGGGACTTACTTACACAGGAGTTACGATATTCAGTTCTTTAAAAAAATCCAATGCATGCTTCTTTTATATATTACTCTGGAAAGTGATACCTACAAGAAAAAGGTCAGTAAATAAGGGATTTGTTTTATTAGAGGCAGCAATCTAACTGCTTTTTTGTTCCATGTTCAGAGGGGGTCTGCCAAAGTACAAATTTATCATATTTAACTGGGGGGGGGGGAGAGGAAATCCCTGAATTAGTGTTTGCACTAATGCAGAAAATTGCAAGAGAAATAAGCAAATCTTGCCACCACCCTTTTCCTTTTGCATAAAGATATGAATAATAGAGAAACTTCTGTTTAATAAAGTGTCATCGGGTAAAACTACAGCACCAGGGAAAGTAGCATGAATTTTTCTGCCAGGACTAACAAAAAAAATAATGACAATTTGCAGAATTAGGTGGAAGCAGTGTACCTGCAGCTATCATTTTACCATACAGTTGCAAACGTTTTATGAATTTAGTATTATGAAAAACTATTCCCTAGATACTAAATGACTGATAGCCAATTCATAGGCTGAAGTTTGGGAACAGCACCCTAAGCACTAAGAGGAGCTGGATAGCAGATGCTCCCGTTTGCATCCTTCTGTGCATCAAGATATTTAGATATTCAGTACTACTGCAAGTCTTGGCCAATTGCGTAGTACTTCCCTTTCAGACAGCCCTTGAAGACAATTATCAGTTATTTTCTGAATTGGACCAGAATCGATCTATTAGTGGATGGGAGTCTTTTGTAAGTTGGGTATTTTGATTTATAGTAATCAAATCATTTTGAAAAGGATGGTGCTCATCTTGTTAAAAGCTCCCTAGTCCAATATTTAACTGCCAAACTTGCAAGAGCGAAGAATGCCAAGATCATCTGGGCACAATTCAAAAAAATTCTTTTTTGCTCGTAACCCTACTGGGTTTATCTAGTTAAGTGCAATTATAGGAGACTGCAGAATAACGAACTCTGTATATGACTGTCTTTATTAATCCATACAATTGTCCGCACTGCCTCCTTTTAACTGAGTGCTACTTTAAGGGCTATAATAGTTGAGGAATGGCAGGTGCTTAAAAAAATAGAATTCAGAGGGAAATGTTTACCAGTAGGATTTTGGACATAATTTAAGGAGTCATATTTAGAACACAAAAAGATTTTATTTTTTCCTATATGGAACTAAGGAGCTTTCTAGTATTTATTAAGTGCTGATTAGTTCTTGCAAGAAATACCATTTCTTACCTATCGGTCTGTGCATAAATATGCTAATAAGATGGTGAATCTTCTGCATTACTTTCCATGATAATTCTCTTGAGAGGCTTCTCCTGGGAGTTCAGCTAGCAAATTGAGAGGCTGCTACACAGCGCATAACATTGTCCTTGTAAACTGTTGGAAACACACCCTGCCTCCCCATTTCCTGCAGATGTTCTCTCTGGGCACAGCTCAGTCGATGCTGGGGAAACACTGACTGCACAATGACGCACAACGGCGCCAGTGTATCCCTACTGTGTCTTGGCACAGTCCCAAGTGTGATCACAAGAATCCTTCAACTATCTCGTCAAGGAATCTGTCTGAGAGCACCAGGTACACTGTTTTCTTCCCCAGTAAATCAAAGTAGACGCGTGTCAATCACTGGCCTAAGTGAATCAGTAGCAGCTTTCAGTGGAATTATAACTGGGCACGAAGCAAACAGAGGTTTTTATGGCTCCACAGCTTCACATTCTTAGTGATACATATGGAAAAATTATCAACAGGCACCTGATGGGTGAAAGATGGACCAGGGGCGTCCACAAAGTATGGTAAACAAAAGTCAAAATGACAGCCACAATGGTATGATTGAAGTTTGGTCTGTTTTCTTATATACTGTATGTGCCACCATATTGGTTTGTGTGTGTGTGTGTTTAACCACACCTTGCAGATGCCCCTGAAGCTTTCAGTCAGTAGCCTGCTTCCTATGCCAAGTGGCATTCTCCAACCTCAGTACAAATTGCAAATGACGCTCTTCCCACCTCCAGTAACATCTGCTACAATTTTTTATTTTAACCTAAAGCAGTGTTTCTCAACCTTGACCTTTTTAAGGCACGTGGACTTCAACTCCCAGAATTCCACAGCCAGCATTGCTGGCTGTGGAATTCTGGGAGTTGAAGTCCACATGCCTTAAAATGGTCAAGGTTGAGAAACACTGACCTAAAGCAACTGTTTTTTGTTTTTTTGAAAAATGAGAAACTGAAAATTGAAGCAAGCTCTGCCACAGGGAGTCTCTAATTCTGACAACTTTTAAGATTCGTTCGGGGAGCTGAAGTCCACAAGCTGTAAAGCTGCCAAGGGTGGAGACCCCTGCTCTGCCCCCCCCAATCAGAAAAGGAGTGGCAATCTGGGCTCCTTTTTGTCATTTCAACACAAACGTCTTTGAGAAACACAATTCAAAAAAGTAAAGCTTACATCCTGCTTAACCAGTGCATCTGCCTTAGTGGCAAGTGGGAGACAATGTTTTAGCAGAGAGCTTCAAGCAGTTCAACCCCTTCTTGTGTTTCAAGTATCAAAGGCAAGATCTCCCCACCCCCCATCCCCCCCCCCAAAAAAAATCCCTCAGGCAAACCAAAAAGCATCTAACGCGAGTATTTTTTTTTTTATCCTGCACAATTTAGCACTGATTCATTGGCACCATTATTTGGTCCGTATCTGAAGAGATTCTACATTTTTACTTCTTTTTTTTTTAACCCCTCAGCTTTGGGGAAATTGGGCTGAAAAAAAATATATATATATATATATATATATATTGTAGTCTTCAAACTCGGTTAAGGAATTCCAGGTTAAGGGAGGCTGGGATGTGGATAGAGTCCATAGTCAGAGACGAAGGATTGAACGGAAACAAAACGGGGAACATGAATTTGAAGTCTAACAGCAGCTGTGGAGGATCGTTTCGCTCTTGCAGCTGGGCCTGCGAGGAACGGGAAGAGGCTCATTAGCAGAGAAATTGGACCGGTGGCTGTTTTAAGCCACAACTTTGCTCTTACAGCTGCATCTTGAGTTTCTCTCGAGTAGGAATCCTCTGAGTTTTAGAAAGATAAGGCATCATCAGCTCAACCTTTTTTCTAGCCAATTTTGTAGTGGCAACTAACTGAACAGCACCGTACCATACGATTGTTCGTCTGGAAATGAGCAGCCACTCCTGGCACCGTCTAGCTCAGAGGGGTCCAATCTCGGCAACTTTTAAGAGCCGTGGACTCCGGCTCCCAGAATTCCCCAGCCAGCCAGCCAGCCAGGGTGGAAGTCCACCGGTTTTAAAGCTGGATATCCCTGATGCGGTTGTAGTATCTTCCCACAAGAAACAGAAGATCCTAGCTAGAACTGGCCACGGCTGCACCTAGTGTCCTGTGTAAATCAGAGGAACTGACCTGGCAATCGGTTCAGTGTTTTTAAATAGCGACAGCTGTCTGGGGGTTTTGTTTCTGATTTTAGTTTAACCTTGCACAGGGTGAAGGTGAACAATTCGGCTGCCGCTTCTCAGCTTTTTCTCCTGGAGTCCCAGGGTAAGATCACAGTAACTAACTGTAGGGCAGGGGTGTCAAACTCGCAACGTCACACGACGTGTTGCAATGTATTACAACTTTTTTTCCATTGCCAGCAATGGGGTGGGTGCGGTTTCAGCATGACGCATCCAGCCTGCGGGCTGGCGGTTTGACACCCCTGCTGTAGGGGGACCGAACTGGCAGCTATGATTTTACATTGTTGTTAACTATGATAATAATTAATACTGTGAAACAACATCTGCCATACCCGGTCCTTGGGAAGGATATAATAGGTGGGTAAAAAAGCCAGATCCAATATAAATATCTGGGTGACACTAACTTGTAGCTGCTCAACTTTCAGTGACTGAGTAGTGCACACTGAGTGGAATTTAATCCTATGCCCTACCAATCTGTCAATCTTTACTTATTCTTCATGCATTTATTTTTTGTCACACTGGAGTCTTGAGTCCTATCTCACTACATTTCATTAGCCTTACAGAGTATCACAAATGAGAAAATTCTATGAAGAAGTAATTCCTGAAGATAATGACAAAATGAAGAATGCGCTTTGCTGGACACGTGCTCCGCAGGAGTGTGCAACGTCCAGCAAAGACCGCAATCAATTGGATCCCACCAGATGGTTGGAGGAAAACAAACGTGTCACCAAACATTTCAAGAAGATCTGAAAAACATCAACCTTCAATGGAAAGGTCAAAGAACGTACCTGAATGTTTCTTATGAAGGTTACTGTCACTCGCTCTTCAAACTCGTTCACAGGAGTGTAAAGATTTAGTATTTTTACAATCTAAGGAGCAAAGATCAAATGAGGGTTATAGAGGAGATGCGGCAGACTCTGTGGCATCACTAGTTTGTAAACAGGCATCACGGGTCCTCAAGAGAACCAGCGTAGGGAATGGGTGGAATTTAGGTGACAACACAGGCTGCCCGTCTGCAGGCAGACCTTCAAGAGAACTGGCGCCCTGAATGGGTGCCCCATTTATCCACAATTGTACATATTGTGCAAGATTAATCACGACGTGTGTTCTCTGGTTCCCTAGAAGATCTGCACGAAGCAACGCCCAGAGACACTCGCTTCTGAACTGGACATCCAGTTATGAAACTGCTGCCATACACCTCTCCTCTAGATGTTTTCTATATAATTACACATATTGTGTGCATATATTTGCTTCCATCGTGTTCTCATCAGACACTAAACAATAATCCATTAACATATTCAAGTACTTTCCCTGGTCGCTTAAAATAACCTTCCTCAGCCAGATGCTGGACTTGACTAAAGCAAAAAGCTTTGGGGAATTATTTGCAAAGTATCAGCACTACATCGTTGTGATTTGAGCCAAAGCAGGGATGCCTAAGTTCAAATCCTTGCTCGGGCTGAGGCTCTCTGGTGACCTTCTACGCCAGTGTTTCTCAACCTTGACAATTTAAAGGCATGTGGACTTCAACTCCCAGAATTCCACAGCCAGCAACGCTGGCTGTGGAATTCTGGGAGTTGAAGTCCACATGCCTTTAAATTGTCAAGGTTGAGAAACACTGTTCTACGCCGAATGAAAAAGGATCCGAAGAAGGAAGGAAGGCGTGAAGAGGAGAACCGTATTCCCCCGTTCAGCCTTTTATCGTGACGTGTACCTGCTGGGTGGTGAGGGATGTGCACAAGGAGCAGATGGCCTCCCCGTCCTCAGGGCTTTTCTTTCTCAGCTGCAGCAGCTGGGCTGCCTGGATCAGGGGCTCCAGGGTCTTGGCAGCCCCGCTTGCCTGCAAGTTCTTCCCTCTCAACCACTCCTCCAGCTGGCTGATGTTAAACCTGGACCCGACACAAGGAAGACAGGAGTTACGAGAAGAACTGGCGAGAGGCTTCCGAATCCCGGTGAGAGGTTTGCGTGTTCTCAACCGGCCCGTGCCTGGTTGGGGAAGCAGAGGACGTCCCTCTCTCAACCCCCCCAAGAGCAGCCACTGCTGGGCAACATTAACAAGACGGATGGAACCCCATTTCTTCCTAATTGTTCCAGCAATTTGGGGGTCTCCTTTTGTCTGGATCAACTGAATGTACAGTAGATCCATTGGTTTCCATAGGAACTGACCCGCTGGCTGGTCGCCTGAGCGTGATGTCATGGGCTGAGCGTGTGTGACTGGCCCAAACTCACCATCTTAGGCTTCAATGGCTAAGATGGAACTAGAACTCACTGTCTCCTGGTGAGTGTTCTCAACCAGCCAGCTTTCCTGCCTAACACTTACCGTCTCCTGGTGACTGGTCCAAAGTCACCCATCTGGCTTTCCGGCCTAAAGCAGCACTGGAACTCTCAGCGCCTAGTTTCTCGCCTGATGCCTTAACCACTAAACCAACCTGGCTCTTGTTTGATGGAAAAATACTCTTGGTATAAAGCAGCTTCAACATACTAATGCGGCCCCGGGGAGGTGTTGCAAGTATACATAAATGATTGCAAAGCGAACCTGGGAGACCGTTTTCCATAATATGTCACATTACAGCCTGCTTTCATTTCAAATGTTGAATTGCTAAGCAAACCACACTCCCCAGACAGAGCAACTCCAGTGAAGGAGGACCAGAATGATCTAGAACGGAATGGAATGGAATAGAATATAGAATAGAATATAGAACAGAACAGAAATAGAACATAGAAAACAAAATAAAATATAGAATATAGAATAGAACAGAATAGAATATAGAATAGAATGGAATAGAACAGAACAGAAATAGAACATAGAATATAAAATAGAATAGAATAAAATAGAATAGAGAATAGAATAGAGAAAGAATAGAATAGAATAGAATAGAATAAAATAGAAAATAGAATAGAAAATAGAATAGAGTAGAGTAGAGTAGAGTAGAATAGAATAGAATAGAATAGGAGCTGGAAGGGACCTTGGAGGTCTTCTAGTCCAGCCCCCCTGCTCAAGCAGGAGATCCTATACTATATCCTTTCCTCTCCCTTGTTTTGGGCCACAGTCCTTTAGCTTCCAATGGCTGAATAGCCTGCAAGGGTTCTGAAGCACGAAGAAGAGGGAAGGGCGCTATTCCAGGGGGGTCCAGCCTCTCTCTCTCATCCACCTACCGCCGTGTGTCTCAACTCTGGCAACTTTTAAGACCGGAGGAATGGCTGGCTGGGGAATTATGGAAGTCGAAGTCCAGACGTCTTACACTTGCCGAGAGGTGGAGGCAGAGACGCACAGGAAGGAGGACTTCCTCCTCCGCCCTGAACGCATCCCCCACCCGCCTTCCGGCCGGAGCCCTACCTCATCTGCATGCCTGTGCTCCAGGAGCAGACGTCCTTCCGCAGCAGGAGGTTGTTCAAGGCCACGGCGTTGATCATGTAGAAGAGCTGCTTGATGGCCTGCTGGATGATCTCTGGGTCCAGGCCCTGGTCGTACATGACGCTGAGAAAGGTGTTCAGCTGGCGGAGGATGGCCTCCAAGCTGTAGGCGTTTTCGCTGTCCCCCCTGCTGGAGCTCCGCTTCCGGTAGCCCATCGGCTTGACCCCCGACAGCCCCTGGATGCTCTCGTTCTCCAGCACCGCCGTCACTGAGAGGGAAAGAAGGGAAGAAGTCCTCCAAAGGTGAGCAACGTAAGCCGGGCAAATTCTAATTTTCTCATAACTGTTCACAATCGGTGGCTCTTGCCTCCCCCCTCCCCCCGTGCTCCCCTCCAATTCTGGGAATTCTGGACTTGGAAATCCATCAAGTTTGCCAAGGTTGGAAACACCCCCCCTCCCCCCCCCCGGATGTAGACGGTCCTCCACTGCACTACTCGGCTGAGTTAAGTGTGCCTTTCACCTATCATGGGCTGCAAGACGCCTTCAGCAATTCTGATGAGCTGCTGGTAGATCTGGATGGAGAGGTCACTCAGGACCTGGCGGTACTCGGCGAGGTCAAAGTTCTTCAGGCAGTGCTCGTTCTGCTTTGGGGTATTTTGAGTCATGAAACCCTGCAAAGGAAGGCCAAGAGAAGGTAGCAAGGTTAACGGCAGGTCGGATTACAGTTATGAAGAGGAAAACACCAAACACTGTAAGGTTGATAGGTAAAGCAAACGTTTGTGGAGCAAATTCTGAGGAGAACTGGAACTTTTGGGCTAGGTTTTAGGGGGGGGAACCCCCCACGCATCAAGGTTCACTTCCAAGATGGCTGCAGGGTACAATATAATTCTTAGGATCCTTAAAGAGACGTTGCAGGCTTCAGTGTATTCCAGTTACTTGTGGGGCAGATCCCCATGTGGTCTGCTACTAAGAGCTTCCCTCCAAGTGACAAAGAGGCCTTAGTGAACACTTGCAAGGTCAAGAATGAAATCTGGAGGTTTTATTAGTGTTTTATACCGAGAAAGTGTGGAAGAGAGGCAGGAAAGGAAAACAGGGACTCTCCTTGCCTCGGACAATTTTCATTTTGATGTTAGTTCATGAAATCAGGTAAAAAGTGGGACTGGCATCTTGTCTACTACCAACAAGGCAGACCCGCGAAGGCTAACTCAGAAGCATTAAGGATTATGTCCAGGAAGTTGCAAGGCGCATAGAACAAAAGCTTTGCTTGTTCTTTTAATTCGTTACATTTTCAGTCCAACAGTCAGATCTATAATTCACTAACACTAGCAGATTGTCAAGGTTGAATTGCTAAGGTGCCTGCTAACCTCTATCACTATTCAACTTGCCATAGAAACAGGGCGGAGGGGTGGAGAGCTTGGGAAAGAAACAGGAGTCTTTCTGTGGGCCGTGAGAGTCAAGGTCACAAAAGCAGGTGCCTGACGGAGAAGTGGACCCTTCCCATAACAAGTCACAGAAGTGTGATTGGGCAACGTGAACACTAAGATTTAAGAGACTGAAACAAACCATGAAGTTTGAGCGAGTGGGTGGCTCGCTTACGAGGGAGGGCAGGTACCTGCAACCTGCCTGCCTGAGCCGGTGAGCCTAAGGGCGGGGAGACAGTTGACACAGATACCCAAACTGGAATAGCTGGTATGATTTCAAGCCAAGATTTATAAGAGGCAAAAGCATATCCTAATAGCAAATTAATTTCCCTGGTCGACTCTTCTATCCCTGGAGAGGTAGGAAGGAAGGATACGGCATGAGATACTTGGATGACATTCTTTACATGACAAACCCAACACTGCAGAAAAGTCCTTGGCAAAATCGCTGCGGTCTGAGCAGGAGCTTATTTACCATAGTCTGGAAATCTCAGACATACAAGTCAGCAATCCTAGACTGGTGACCAGAATCAGGACTGGACCTTCTGTTACTAAGCCATGTGGTTGATCAGTCAGTCACACCTCATTTTACTAGCTTTTTTTGCCAGAGTCATTTGAGGGAATCACGCCGTTGTTCAATGGATGCAGCTTCCCCCACTGACTTTGCTCGTTCGAGACCAGTCGAGAAGACGGCAAATCGTGATCACGTGACCCGGGGATGCTGCCACCCTTGTAAACTCACACTAATTGCCAAGTGCCCAACTCACAATCACATGACCACAGGGACACTGTAACCATGGTAACTGTGAGGACTAGTTTTATTCAATGCTGTGCCCAGAGTTGCTTTGAAATGCGATGAGCGGCAAACAAATGTAATCAATCAATAAGTCCCTTTTTTTTCCAGTATTGTTGTTGACTTCAAAAGATGGCCAAATACAAACGGTCATACATCAAGGACTACCTATACCGTCTGACCATCCCTTAGACCAGGGGTGGGCAACCTTGGCTCTTTTGTGACTGGTGGACTTCAACTCCCAGAATTCCTGAGCCAGCCATGCTGAGGGGAAAGGGAGAGGTTTCTAAGCTGAGCCAGGCCGGCTCAGGAATTCTGGGAGTTGAGGTCCACGAGTCATAAAAGAGCCAAGGTTGCCTACCCCTGACCTAAGGAGAGTCATCCAAGAGAGATTTTTAGCACCGAGGCCCTCGTCCCTGGTTACCACCATGCTCTCACCGTATCGCCGCTGTATTGCTTCAGACAATGGAGAAGGCGACTCGTGTTGGACAGCCAGAATGACGTCATCTCAAAGTCCTCGTTGTGTTTCTATGGAGAAGCCAAACATCAGTCATGCCATGAAAGGGATGAGCAGCTGGAAACACAGAGTCCCGCTCTGGAGCCTCTCCAGAAAGTGGCAGGCAAATAATTGTCATGAGACGAATAAATCATCACCTAGGACGGGTGGTGAATCTATGGCACGCGTGCCAGAGGCGGCACTCAGAGCCCTCTCTGGGGGCACACAGGCCATGCCCCAGAGATGGCAACTGTCCCTCTTCAACCAGCCACCTGCTAACTCGCCAAGGTCCCACATGGCCGGATGCATCCCAGCACCCATGCGCTCGCTGGCCTCTGTGGGGGGGGGGGCGATGGTGTCAGACAGCAGCCTCCTCGGTCTCTGCCTCACCTTGCCCTGTGACAATGGCACCCCTGCCCTGCCTTGCCTCACCCCGCAGGACGAGCCTCCTGCCCACCGCCCCACCTGCAAGAGACCCCCTGGATCTCCCCCAACCCTGCCCAGCCCCCACAGGCGTCCCTCCCCATGAGCAACATTGAGGTGACCATGCCCACCTTGGCCACACCCACCCAATCTGCCATGACCACCAAAGGCATGCCCACCCAGCGATGCATAAGTGGGTTTTGGGTTGCAGTTTGGGCACTCAGCCTCTCAAAGGTTCGCCATCACTGTCCTAGGAGGTCTTCCCTTGAAATGTCCACCTATTATTTCCAAGTGTTGTGTTAGGGTTTCAAGGGCTCTGCTGGAACAAAGTCAGATCAAGGCGTCCGAAGGAAGGGCCTAGGGGCAAAAGAAGAGGTCCCTAACGGTCCCTAGAGACGGTTCTAACGGGCTTCCTTTGAATGAAGTTGGCCTGCAACATTAAATCTTCAATTCCATCATAACAAGACTTGCTACTTTTCCAACTGGAACTTTTCTCATGCAATCTCGTGAAGGCTGCAAAATTGTGAAGACGGTACTGGAGGCAGTGTTACAACAACCCATGCTGCATGACCCACAAATAAACTCTATTTTCTACTTTGTCTTTTATCTCCTTCTTGTTCCCTAGATACCTTGCGTCATCTCAGAGGTATATATACCATCCAATAAACATACCATATAAAGTGAACCCCCCCCCTTTTTTTACCTTTAATACTTTTTTAATGCCGTTAATAGTGGAGGTAAGCAACGAGTGCACTTTTTGATCATCATTAGTGTAATCGGCGTGTCTGATGCACATAAAAAGGATGTAGGCGGGCAAGCAGGGCACGGTGGCAGATACTGCTTGGGGCTTCAGATCTGTGAGCAGGAAAGAAAATCTTTCAACAACAGGATTCCTTAGCCACTCAGATACAAAGTCTATACTGATGGACTTGGACACTTACCTGAAGCAAAACGAGTCACAGAATTATTTTTATTAACTGATCTCATTCCTCTACTATATACATATATATTTAAAGATCTGACCTATTTTTAACAATCCAATTACTGTATTCCTATTATGTACTCTGGAGTAGAACATGCTATACCAGGAAAGAAAATGGAAATGAGTAATGCTCGATGATAAATTGTTCAACGTGTAAATCAGTTTTTCAACTCAATCTTTTAACGTGACATTTATGCTTCTTCCCAATGCTATAAAGACTTTCTCCCTTTACAGGAATTACGAGGGTAGAATCAATTACTTGGAGAAAGTGCTGGGTTAGCTTTCACTGGAGGCATTTAAGAGAAAATAGACAGTCCTTTTTTAATGAGGATTTCCCCGATGGACAGGCATGAGATTACTTGACTACTGACCGTAGGTAAATGCCCCCTTCAAACGCTACAGTCCTGGGACTCTTAGGAATAGAGTTGTTCTTACTTTGGCAGCAAACTATTACAAACCCCATTTATAACCACAATATTAGCCGTGAGGGTCTGGATGGGGGTTAACAGACTCAGGCTCAATCCTGACAAGACCAAGTGGCTTTGGATGTTGCCTCCCAAGGATCATGTTAACTGTCCAGTGTTGACTCTAGCAGGGGAAAATATACCCCCTTCGGAGCGGGTTCGCAACTTGGGTGTCCTCCTTGATCCACAGCTGAAATTGGAACATCATTTGACGGCTGCGGCTGGGAGGACCTTTGCACAAGTTCGTCTGTTACACCAGTTGCGACCCTACCTGGACTGGGAGGCTCTCCTTACAGTCACTCATGCCCTTGTCACCTCACGCCTGGACTACTGCAACGCGCTCTACATGGGGCTACCCTTGAAAAGTATTCGGAGACTACAGTTGGTCCAGAATGCAGCCGCGCGAGTGATAGTGGGTGTTCCTCGGTACACCCACGTTACACCTATCCTCAGTGAGCTGCACTGGTTGCTTATTGGTCTCCGGGTCCAATTCAAGGTGTTGGTTATTACCTTTAAAGCTCTATATGGCTAAGGGCCAGGCTATTTGCGAGACCACCTACTACCTCATAGTTCCCTACGTCCGGTTAGATCCCACAGGCTGGGCCTCCTTCAGGCCCTGTCGGCCAAGCAGTGCCATTTGGCGGGGCCGCGGAGGAGGGCTTTCTCTGTGATGGCGCCCACGTCTTGGAACCAGCTCCCCCCGGAGATTAGGACCGCTCCCACCCTGTTGGTCTTCCGTAAGCTACTTAAGACCTGGCTTTTCCGGCAGGCCTGGGGTTTATAAAATCTGACCCCTGGATGACTGTTATTGTATTGTTTGTTTGTTATGTTGTGTTTTTATTGTTAGCCGCCCGGAGTCCTGCGGGAGTGGGGCGGTCTATACATTTTAATTAAATAAATAAATAAAGAACTAGGTTGAGAAACTAAACAGAACTGTTTACCTGTAATGAGATTTTTTATGAGCAAAGGCTCCTCTTCTTCATAATATTCTAACATTCCCTGGAAGTCTTTTTCCTTCCTTTGGACGGCAACGTGCCGACTGAGTTCGTGTTTCCGTTTTTCAGACTGTGTAGTGGTTTGATCAGCTGGGAAAGACAAATCAAGAACAAACTCAACTCTGAAGCAGCTGCCCTCGCCAGAGGGCCCTCCGGGCTCTGGTTGACTCGGGGGTCTGCCCCAGCACCTCGGAGCTACAAAAATGATAACTGAGGCAACACAGATATAACACAAAAGACGCAGTCCTGGTTAAAAAGCCAGGAGGAGGTTGGGGAGCTGTGTAGTTCCTTCTCATCTGCTTCAGAGTAAATTCTAGGGTAGAAACCAGCATTATCTTGAAATAGAAACATGACCACCCACCTGTACTCTAATGCAGGGGTATGCAACCTCGACAACTTTAAGACTTGTGGACTTCAGCTCCCAGAATTCCTCAGCCAGCTAGGAATTCTGGGAGCTGAAGTCCACAAGTCTTAAAGTTGTCGAGGTTGCGGACCCTTGTTCTAATGGCTATGATTCATACTGAGGTCTTGTATCATGAAAACTGATTATGTGCCATCAAGTTATATTTTACTCCTAGCAACCACACAGACAGAAAGCTAAAACATGCGGTCCATTTCCTGTCTTGTGGAGAGTAGCATTTGGGTACCTGTAAATCTCATCTCTAAGTCTTTCTCCTTTTTATCTGACATTTCAGGGGCCTTCAAACTTGGCCCTTTGATGACTTGTGGACTTCCTCGTGCCTGGCTGAGGAATTCTGGGAGTTGAAGTCCACAAGTCATCAAAGGGCCAAGTTGGAAGACCCCTGTGCTATTTGAAAGACCTTGTTGCCCTGATCTGTGGATTATGCCTCTTATCTTTGACATCTTCCACCTTTTCCTGAATTTTCTCCAGGAACTGCAAAAGAATCTACTCCACAGATTTTTTTAAACATATGTGCTGAGAAGAAAGCCAACATGTGTTTGGGAAGTCCAAGTAATGGATCTTTTCCATCAGTTTTCCAAGGGAGAGAAGATCTTACTGTTCTTTCCACAGATACATATGCAGGTATGTACATACAGACACATGCAAAGTGCAACAAAAGTCAAGACCCATAAACAATTCATTATATAAATCACATCAAATGCTCATTTTGATTGTTATTTTCTTTTAAACCTTTCTTAAATCATTTGACATTGGTCCTTTCAGCATTTCGGCATACAATAACTTTTTCTCTGAAAAAAAAATTAGTAAAACATTGTAATTGGCCCATAAGTCTGATTTTTTTTTGGTGCACCCTGTACATAAGCAATATGTAGTCATAGAAAAATAGAGGGATTTTTTTTTCGATTTTGAGGTTTTTTTTAAAAAAATTCATTTTGCATTTTCATTCCCTTCTTTAACTTTTAGGTTGTATTATTATCTTTCAGTACATAATTCACTTAATAATACTTTAAGTGAAATATTTAACTTCAGTTCTTGTTGATAACTGCAATATTTATTTTTGTACTTGTATTCGTTCAAAGATTCAATGAAAATTAAGATTGAAATGGAAATGAAACGAATAAATCTTATCCCCATTTCATCATTTCTGTGATTCTTACCCCATTTCAGTGGTTTAAGTATGCCTCTAATGGAAAGAAGTAGCCAGAGCTATTGCATCATTTGCCATATCTAACCTCACTTTCAGGATTCAATAAAGTTCTCTGGATTTAGCCCTAGAGCAGGGGACTCCAAACTTGGCAGCTTAAGACTTGTGGACTTCAACTCCCAGAATCCCCAGAATTCCACAGGAATTCTGGGAGTTGAAACCCACAAGTCATAAAAGGGCCAAGTTTGAAGACCCCTGCTCTAGAGAATACATATAAATCACTATGGCATTAGACCAAACTGCTACAGTCATACCTATAAAAAGTAAATAACTTCCATTTCTTAATAAGAAGATGAAGACAGTAATCAAATTATGGCTTAATAACCTTGCTAAGGATAATAGGTAATTTCCTTGCTTCCTTCACCAGCAAACAAATGCTGAAGTGGTGAAATGCATTAAGGAAATGGATTCTAAGACACAATTCAAGTAACTTTGTGCCAGTCAGTTTCATGCCTATAAATTATAACGACAGGAACCAGCTATGCTAGCTGCCACGATGTAGAGTCTTCAATTCCTTTGGCTGAATTTCATTTAATGATCAGCTTTCTGGGAACCAGGTTTTTGGATCCGAGCTGCAGTAGCTAATCACTCCATCAAGCCCTCAAAATCAAAAGAATATATTTCTGATATGCCGCTTCTCTTTTCCATGACTGCAGATGCATATAGAGCATTCTCTAAAAAGCCACCTTGGGTGCCAGGAGGACCAGCAGGGGGAGACATTCTCCCTGATACTGGAAGCAGCGAGACCAAAGCAGGGCTGGGAATAGCAGAGGAAGAAGACTTTGTAAAGTTTTCTAATCCTTCCCCTTTCAATAAACAGAAACAGGAAACATCCAGTCGGTGAAGATGGCGTGCAGAGGGACAATGCGGCACTTCGAAAGGCAAAAATAGTTTTCAGATTAGAGAGGGGTGTTAACCTGGCACCTGCCTGCCACCTCTTAAAAAGCAGCTGAGACTTTGTGGAATTATACAGGAGCTGCAGCGGGGAGCTGCTAAGGCCCCAGGAAAGGAGGTGCAAAAAGAGGTTAGGCTGCACCCCACAGTTCTGCACAGGACGTGGGAGGAACAACCAGGAATTGCGATGGCTCTTAAGACGTCCTTGATTAACACTTCCTTTAGTGACCATCTGAAGTTACAAGGGCGCTGAAAAAAGTGACTTATGACCATTTTTCACACTGACAACCGTTGCAGCATCCCCCACGGTCACGTGATCAAAATTCAGAGGCTTGGCCACTGACTCGTATTTATGACAGTTGCAGAGTCCTGATGTCACGTGATCATCTTTGGCGACAAGCAAAGTCAACGGGGAAGCCAGATTCACGTAACAAAACCACGTTACTAACTTAACAACTTTAGTGATTCGCTTTACTGAGGCAAGAACGGTCATAAAACGGAGTAAAATTCACTTAACAACTGCCTCACTTAGCAACATTTTAGGCTCAATGATGGTCATAAGTTGAGGATTACCTATACAAGGGGTAGGGAACCTTGGCTCTTTTATGACTCGTGGACTTCAACTCCCAGAATTCCTGAGCCAGCCACGCTGAGGGGAAAAGGAGAGGTTTCCAAGCTGAGCCAGGCTGGCTCAGGAATTCTGGGAGTTGAAGTCCACCAGTCATAAAAGAACCAAGGTTGCCTGCCCCTGTCCTAGGCCGCTTTATGACTCATGGACTTCAACTCCCAGAATTCCTGAGCCAGCATGGGGGAACTATGGCCCCCTCATGACTCATGGACTTCAACTCCCAGAATTCCTGAGCCAGCCATGCTGAGGGGAAAGGGAGAGGTTTCCAAGCTGAGCCAGGCTGGCTCAGGGATTCTGGGAGTTGAAGTCCACGAGTCATGAGGGGGCATAGTTCCTCCATGCTGGCTCAGGAATTCTGGGAGTTGAAGTCCAGGAGTCCTAAAGGAGCCAAGGCGGCCTACCCCTGGCCTGTACTGTACAGTGCACCCTTCTTCCTTTGAAAAGCAGCTGAACTTACAAAGTCTTTCCTCCAGCCTTACTCAGATGTGGGAGCCAGGCTGCCAGACGTGCTCCGGATCCTTCGCTTCCTCCCTCGGTGTAAAGCCAAGGTGGCTTTTTAGCCATCGGAGCTATTTTTTGTCAGGGGAAGTGAACGTTACCTTCGTAATCTTGCACTTTCTTCATATAAATCCTGAGCTGCTTCTTCAGCTTCTTCTCATTCTTTTCTAGCTTCTCCAGCGTCTCTTTCAGGTCCTGAAAAACAGGAAGAAATCCCAGATCAGGCTCAGCTGCTGCTCGGACGGAGCGATGCCCGCGCGTTTCGCCCAGAAGATCGCTTAAACGGCAAAAGAGGCGGAAGGGAAGACGGACTTCCTTGGCAGATGCGTCCATATATTCATTTAACAAACGTAACTCTAGAGTCACTCAGGGGAAATTAGGGGAGGAACACAAAAGTATACTCAAGGCACATAAATGCAACCAAAACCCAAATTGGATTGAGGGCCCTAAAAATTGCATTATCAGCACATAATCCAATCTATACTCACACTAGACTTCCATCCAGGCCCGGGGGAAGAACCAGTCCTCTACAGCGTTCAGGCTGCCTGCATCTGGGAGGGGGGCTGTCCCACAAGACAGCTGCCGTGCCAGAGAAGGCACACATCAAGGCCCACCAGCTGCCCTCTTTTACAGCAGGGGTCCCAAACCCCCAGTCTGTGGACCGGCCCTGGTCTGCGGCATGACAGCAACCGGGCCACACAAACAAGCGAGGCCCCATCCGTGGGCAGCACGCAAAACCAGGTCCCTCTCCCCACGGAACCGGTTCCTGGTGCTTCACAGAACCAGTTCTAAGAGGACCCAGCGCACCCCCACGGCACCAGATCTTGTTGGAACCGCTGGGCAGAGGTGATCCGTAAGAAACCCGATCCTGTGCCGCTTCAAAAGCAACAACCAGCACCTCGAATTGCGCTCAGAAGCTTACTGAGGGTCAATCCAGATGACAGAGCGGCAGTTCAGGTAGTCCTCAACTTACACCCGTTCGTTTACTGACTGTTTGAAATTACACGGCACTGAAAAAGGTGATCTGCAACCGGTTCCCGCATTTACAGTTGCCGCAGCATCACCACGGCTACGTGGTCAAAAATTTAGCCGCTCGGCAAGCGGCAGGTGTTTCTGAGGGCTGTTGCCAGGTCCTGGGGACCGGCCTTTGCCCCCCCCCCCAGCCACCGTCTGGCCAGGGGAGTCAGCGAGGGAAGCAGGGTTTATGCTTCATGACTGCCAGCATGATTCAGCTGCAGGGGCTTAACAGCTGTGGCAGAAAAAAAGGATCATGAAATTGGGTTCAGGTCACTTAACCGGATCACTTACGAATGGAATTTCTGGCCTTAATTGCAGTCATAGATTGAGGACTATCAGTACTGGGTGGGCATATCATGGAACAAACAATACTCTACACTGGGGGTCTTCCAATTTGGCCCTTTGATGACTTGTGGACTTCAACTCCCAGAATTTCTCAGCCAGGCACTGCAGGCCTTTGTATCGTGTGATTAGGGTGATTATATTCTCATCGGACTCAACTTGAAAGTCTTTGATCAACTTGATTTTTTTTCTTTCAGAGTTTATTTCAATCTCTTCCGAGCCAATCAATTATACATTGTGAGTCAAGTAATGTGTCAGGTTGCCATGGCGAGCCTGAATTATTCTAAACAGCAAGTTGTCACGCTGCTTTTTGAAACACTCTCTTCAGGTTCTTATTAAATGTACCTATAATTTTACTGAAAACTTGGTTCAGCGAAACAGGGACGGTGTGGTTTAGCAAATAAATGGTGGCTTTTAGAGCCAGTTTATAAAAGCTGTAAACACAAAAAGCAAATTTGGGCAAAGTTTAGGGACCCATATGGATGTTATTTATTTTACAGCATGTAAAGTAGGGGAAGAATGCTTCACAATGGAGCTGATGAAACAAAAAGAGTGGGTCACTTAAATAGGAGCCAGCAGTGTATGACGACTGCAGTGTCCCAGCGTCGCCTGATCGCCATTTGTGATCTTCCTAGCTGGCTTTTGACAAGCAAAGTCAATTGGGTGAAGCTGGATCTGCTTAACGACTGCAGTGATTTGCTTAACAACTGTGGCAAAAAAGGTCGTAAAATTAGGCACAACTCACAACTGCCTTGCTTAGGAAGGGAAATTCTGGCCTCAGCTGTAATTGTAAGCCAAGGACTCTCTGTGCCTCTGCCAAGAGCCTTCGGGAGGGGACGCGCCTAGAATGCAGACAACGCTCCTGAAAATTCATCGAAAATTGTTCCATGCCAGGCTGTCACTCAAACTATTCTCCAAAGCACCAGAGGGCAGGACGAGAAACAATGGTTGGACACTGACGAAGGAGAGAAGCAACCTGGAATTAAGGAGAAACTTCCTCACAGTGAGGACAATCGACCAGTGGAACGGAAGTTGCCTCCAGAAATCGTGGGCGCTCCATCGCTGGAGATTTTCAAGAAGAGACTGGACAGCCACTTGTCTGAGATGGTATAGGGTCTCCTGCTTGAGCAGGGGGCTGGACTAGAAGACCTCCAAGGTCCCTTCCAGCTCTATTCCATTCCATTCCACCATGGCAGCACTGCTTTTTTGCTGCTCCCATGCCGTGCTGTTCTATATCCAGAAGGCACGTTGTGCGTATTCCCACAGGGAAACGTTATTTTTGTCCGTTTTATTATCTAAAAATAGACTGACCCGAGCATATGTCTCAGATCATACCTGGACCCAAACATCAGCATCACTTAGTGAATGAACCGCTCTGAATTTTGTAATTCAAGCTTTGGCTTAAACCTCTCCGCACCCCATAAAACATTCATATTAAAATACATGCTTAAAACAATCACAAAAGTTGTTTGTGATTTCTGTTGCTTTTAGAAAAATGGATCCACAAGGGTGGCAAATGATAAAGTGTCTTGGTCTGGAAACAAAGTTGGTTTACCATTTCGTCCTTCTGACGGTTAGAGTCTCTCTCTCTCTCCCTCCCTCTCCTCTCTCTCTCCTCTCTCTCCCTCCCTCTCCTCTCTCTCCCTCCCTCTCTCTCCCTCTCCTCTCTCTCCCTCCCTCTCCTCTCTCTCCCTCCCTCTCTCTCCCTCTCCTCTCTCTCCCTCCCTCTCCTCTCTCTCTCCTCTCTCTCCCTCCCTCTCCTCTCTCCTCTCCCTCTCTCTCCCTCTCTCTCCTCTCTCCCTCTCTCCCTCTTCTCTCCTCTCTCTCCCCTCCCTCTCTCTCTCCTCTCCTTCCCTCTCTCTACCTCTCTCTCCCTCTCCCTCTCTCTCTCTCTCCCTCCCTCTCCTCTCTCTCCTCTCCCTCTCTCTCCCTCTCCTCTCTCTCCCTCCCTCTCCTCTCTCTCTCCTCTCTCTCCCTCCCTCTCCTCTCTCCTCTCTCTCTCTCTCTCTCTCCTCTCTCCCTCTCTCCCTCTTCTCTCCTCTCTCTCCCCTCCCTCTCTCTCTCCTCTCCTTCCCTCTCTCTCTCTCTCTCTCTCTCCTCCCTCTCTCCTCTCTCCTCCCTCTCCTCTCTCTCCTCTCCCTCCCTCTCTCCTCTCTCCCTCCCTCTCCTTCTCCCTCTTCTCTCCTCTCTCCCTCCCTCTCTCTCCTCTCCTTCCCTCTCTCTACCTCTCTCTCCTCTCTCCTCCTCTCTCTCTCTCTCCTCTCTCTCTCCTCTCTCTCCCTCCCTCTCCTCTCTCTCCTCTCTCTCCCTCTCTCTCCTCTCTCCCTCTCTCCCTCTTCTCTCCTCTCTCCCCTCCCTCTCTCTCTCCTCTCCTTCCCTCTCTCTACCTCTCTCTCCTCTCCCTCCCTCTCTCCTCTCTCCCTCCCTCTCCTCTCTCTCCTCTCCCTCCCTCTCTCCTCTCTCCCTCCCTCTCCTTCTCCCTCTTCTCTCCTCTCTCCCCTCCCTCTCTCTCTCCTCTCCTTCCCTCTCTCTACCTCTCTCTCCTCTCCCTCCCTCTCTCTCTCCCTCTCCTTCTCTTCTCTCTCCTTTCCCTCCCTCCCTCCCTCCCTCCCTCCCTCTCTCTCTCTCTTTCTCTCTCTCTCTCTCTCCTCTCTCTCTCCCTCTCTCTCTCGGGGTGCAGCCTAAGCTTTACAAGTGGCTACTGGGCAACTGTGGGTTAAAAGCTGTCAGCCGTAGGAAAGTCTTCTACCCAAAGCTCTGGAGAAGCTCCTGATTTTACATTGATATTCCTTCCTCCCACTCGGCGGCCATTTGTGCACATTGGATCTTTCAGACCGCACGTACAGAATACAGGGGACCCTGGAGGTCTTCAAGTCCAACCCCTGCTCAGGTAGGAGACCCTAGACCAGGGGTAGGCAACCTGGGCTCTTTTATGACTCCTGGACATCTACTCCCAGAATTCCTGAGCCAGCTCAGCTGGGAGTTGAAGTCCACGAGTCATACAAGAGCTGAGGTTGCCTACCCCTGTCCTAGACCATTTCAGACAAGTGGCTGGCCAATCTTAAGAGTCTCCAGGGATGGCGCACCCACCACTTCTGAAGGCAATTTCTGTTCCACTGGTCAATTGTTCTCACTGTCAGGAAATTCCTCCTTAGTTCCAGGTTGCTTCTCTCTTTGATGAGTTTCCATCCGTTGCTTCTTCTTGCCCTGCCCTCTGTTGCTTTGGAAAATAAGCTGACCCTCTCTGCCTTGTGGCAACCCCCCAAATCCTGGAACGCTGCTATCATGTCCCCCCCCCCAGTCCTTCTTTTCTCTAAACTAGCCATACCCAATTCCCACAACCGTTCTTCGTATCTTTTAGTCTCCAGCCCTTGGATCACCTTAGTTGCTCTTCTCTATGAGCAACTTCTCATACACCTACAGCTCTACATCTACACGCAGGTCTGGCTAATCCGTGAAGGCCACCCTGGAGTCCTTTTTGACTGAAGAGTTGGGCCCCCATCTTTCAAACAAGGCATCCTCATCCACGATGGAAAGAACCCTGCGCTTCCGCTCGTTCGCCTTACCAGGTTTTCGCTGGTCAGCCGGGAGATTTCCTGCTGGATGCCAAACTCCACCTGGGCCTCTGGCGACAACTGGAGCGTCTGGAGGAAGAGTTCGTGCTGTTTCTCCAGCGCCTCCTTCAGGGTCTCCATCTGCTCCTTCAGGACCTCTATTTCTTCTTCGTACTCCCTTCTCTGATCCTGGAGCTGAGCCTCAAGGAGCCTGGAGGGGGAGAAGCGGGAAAGGTGAGGACGTCCCTCCCTCAAATAATACGAGGCAATTCAGAGGCCCAGAGACGGCCAGGATGCCTCTGATGGCATCAGGCGCCAGGGCTCGCATTCACGGGCCGGATGCCTTGGAGGAACAGTGGGCAGATCCTAGTAACAAAAGACACCTGCCGAGCGACTTTTGTACCGCGTGAACGGGAAATGTGTAGGCTCGCTGATTTATGTTGTATATAAGTCCTTGACTTACAACACTTCATTTGGTGACCATTCAGAGTTACAACAGCACTAAAAAAAGTGACTTACAACTAGTGGTGGGATTCAAATATGGGAACAACCAGTTCTCTGTGTGGATGCCACTTTTGGAAGTCCGTTCTGGGCCTGGGCAACAAAAAATGAGCTCCCGGTTCTGCCAAAGTGGTGAAAACCGGCTGAATCCGACCACTACCTACAATCGTTTTTCACACTTATGACTGTTGCAGCCTCCCCATGGTCACGTGATCGAAATACAGAGGCTTGGCAACTGGCGTGTATTTGGGACGGTTGCAACGTTCCAAGTTATGCAATCCCCTTTTGGGATCTTTTGACAAGCACAGGCAATGGGGAAGCCAGATTCACTTCACAACCGTGTTACTAACTTCACCACTGCAGTGATTCACTTAGCAACCGTGGCAAGCAAGGTCGTAAAATGGATCAAGGGAAGAATTGCAGTGATAAAAATAAATATTCTACCCAAGTTTCTCTTTTTGTTTCAAATGTTACCGATTTTGAAGAATGAGATTAATTTAAGTGAATGGCAGAAAGGCCTTAATAAATTTATCTGGGCAGGGAAAAAGCCAAGGGTTAAGTTTAAAATTATGCAAGACTTCCGTGAGAGGGGTGGACTCAAGGTACCGAATTTGAAATTATACTATGATGCGGTGGTTCTAACACTAATTAGTGATTGGGTAAATCTGACAAATCCTGAGATACTCCATCTAGAGGGATGGGATTTACTTTTTGGGTGGCATGCCTATTTAATATTTAATAAAAAAATGGATTGGGTCTTTAAATCTCATATTCTAAGAACTTCTTTACTTAGGACTTGGAGAAAATATTACAAAAGTGATTTTAAAGTACCATTATGGGCTATACCTTGGCATGCGATAGAAGGAATAAAAAGAGGTGTTAAAATGGACATGGTGTCTTATAGACAGCTACTTAGATGGGATGGACAAAACTGGCAGTTAAAATCACGGGAAGAGCTAGCACAAGAAAATATTATTTACTCTTGGTTCCAATATAGGCAATTAGTAGATAGATGGAAGGTGGATTGTAAGGTGGGTTTTCTTAGAGAAGATGAAAATTTTATTAAGCAAGTGAAGGATCAAAGACAAACCCACATTAAGAGAATTTATGGGGTTTTAGTTGAATTGGATTCAGAAACGGAACTAATTAAAGATTGCATGATTAGATGGGCGCAGAATTTTGGTGAGCCAGTTCCATTGGACACCTGGGAAACTATCTGGGTGAGAAATGTCAAATTTACACAAGCACAGAATTTAAGGGAGAATTTCTATAAAATGTTTTATAGATGGCACCTTGATCCACAAAAAATGTCTCTTATGTACCCTGACTTACAACCTAAATGTTGGAGATGTGGTTGTATGGATGCTACTTATTATCATATTTGGTGGTCGTGCAGAGAGATAAAAGCATTTTGGATCAAGATATGGTGGAATATCCAGAGAATTTTTAGAAGGAGGGTAAAATTTACTCCACAATTATTTTTTTTGGGTATAGTTACTGATTGTGATATAAAGGAGGTTATATTGATGTTAAATTTGATTACAGCCGCGAGGCTGTTAGTAGGACAATATTGGAAGAAGGAATCTTTGCCTACATTGCAGGAATGGTTTCTTAAAGTGTCTTATTTGGCGGAAATGGCAAAGATTTCGGCTTTTTTAAAGGAACAAACGCAAGAGAAATTTCTTGCTGTTTGGGATAAATGGATAAAATTTATACAATTTAAACTGGATATAAAAAAATATTATATAGCTTTTTCATAATTTTTATTTTTATATATATACATATATATCTCAATGTTATATTTTTTTCTTTTTTTATAAATATAATTTTTTAATTGTTTTTTTAATTAAGCCTATATTCTGCTCTGGGAAGCTCGGGGGGGGGAAGGGGGGGTGTTTGGGGGGGGTTGGAGAAGGGGGGTTTTGTTGTGTAATGTTTAGTTTTTTTTATGTATATGTTGTTTTTTGCTCTTGTATTGTTTTGTTCTTTTTGTAAAACTTATAAAACTTTTTAATAAAAAAAAATGGATCAAGGCTCACATAACAACTGTTTTGCTTAGCAACAGAAATTCGGGGCCCAATTGTGGTCGTAAGGCGAGGACTACCTGTATGCATTTATTTTGCACAGCCATAGGGAACAACAGGCTGGTATAGTTGTGAAAGGCCCCGGGTGAGAAACCAAGAGACGCCGAGTTCCAGTCTTGCCCGAGATGCAGCCTTCTGGGCAACCCTGGGCCAGAACCTTTCCCTGGCCCCCCAGGAAGGAGGAGAGAAGGGCAAACCACCTCCAAAACTCTTGCCAAGGGAAGTCAGGGCCTTCTCCAGGAAGTCTCCAGGAGTCGAGACAGGCTTGAACCCAACCCAAATCCCCAAGAGGGAATTCAACGTATCTCAGAACCTTTTCTTTTCAAACAGAACAGTCGCTCAGATTAGCAACTAAGGGTTTAGCTGACTGTGTTCAGCAGGTCAGCGGTTCAAATCTCACCGGCTCAAGGTTGACTCAGCCTTCCATCCTTCCGGGGTAGGTAAAATGAGGACCCAGATTGTTGGGGGCAATGTAAATATATATATATACATTGCTTACTGGTGTACACCGCTTAGAGAGTGCTCGCACTTAAAGCAGTATATAAGTCTCATAAATAAATAAATAAATAAATAAATAAATAAATAAATAAATAAATAAATAAGGGTTGCCCACACTCATTGCTCATATACATAACGGTGAGGAGCACTTACATTGGGAACCAAAAATTGTGAACCGGTTCTATTCTGCTGCCTGCTTGCTGGGTTGCTACCAGACACCACTTTCTTCACATCAATGTTGGCTACCAGGTAGCCAGTCCATGAGAATTAGCGGCCTTGGTTATGGATTTCCTGGTTATTTATTTGGGTTTACGTCCCGCCTTTCCACTCAGCTGGAGAATCTGAAGAGGCCGAAGGAGTAACACCTCAAGGACGTTTGCTGAGTGTCCCCAATCTACAACCTCAGAGATTGGGGGGGGGCATGGTCCACATTGCAGACTTCTGAAACCCTCCAGCCCTAGGGTCCTATGCTCCCCCCTCCCTCACTTAAAAAAGATTCTCGTTCCAGAAACAAAACTTACGAAAATAAAAAAAAGCATTCTGAGTTTACCATTTACTCCAGCTTTCCCAAAGTTACTTTACGCATCAGAATTGATGGACAACGGTCTTAAATGGTTCCTTTTACCCCCCCCCCCCCAAACAATCATTTCTGGGCTCCCTTTAAGACATTTCCAGCTAAGAACAACTTTATGAATTCCAAAAACTGGTCTTTTTATATAGCAAAAAGAAAAAAGAAAGAAAAAGACCTGGTTTTAAAATGAGGCATCCTGAAGAACGGACACTAAAAGGGGAAGAAAGGAATAGAGTGAGAAAAGGCAGAAAGAATGAACCAAGGAAATTAAAACGGTGCTTCTTCCTGTGACAAAATGGAGGGGATTTCCCCTCCCCCAAATACACGCACGTGTATTCTGCAAGATGAGGAAGACGTAGAAAAAAATGGGCCTTTGTTCACAAGGCCTGGAGCAGCTCCCTCCCTCCCTCTCTCTCTCTGCCTTTCTGCATCCGTCTCCATCTCCTCCGACGGGGAGGATGATTCATCCCCACAAAGGTTACAGCCCTCCTTCTGTGCGCCTGAAGAAAAGCTGAACATTCGGTAAGCTCAATTGATTTGGAAAAGGTGCCAATTACAGCTTGCCTGCAATGAAATCTCTGCCCCCGAATCCTTTTCCAACCGTTTCCCAAGAACCCCTTAAAGCAGTGGTTCTCAACCTTTCTAATGCCGCGATCCCATAATACAGTTCCCCATGTTGTGGTGACCCCCAACCACTTATACATCACCGGGTGCCAGGGGCGTGGCCAAAGAAAAGGGGGGAAAAATGGCGGACAGCCTTGTTTGGCGACCCCTGTGAAATGGTCGTTCGACCCCAAATGGGGTCCCCACCCACAGGTGGAGAACCACTGTCTTAAAAGCTCGGCTGCTGAGCAGAAACGGCTCTCGTATTTTGGGCCCAGCCTGCCCGGCGTTCGGGGGGGGGGGCGGCCGAGGGGGTGGACCCCCGTCACCCTCTGGGAAAGCGAAGGAAGCCATCTTGAAGTTCTGCCCTCCCCCAGCACGAAACACCCCTCCCCAACTTCCCCTAAATTTTCCTCGACAGACCAGAAACGCTGCCTTTGGAGAGTTTCCTTCACGGAGACAGTGCAATGTGCGTAAACATATAGACACACCTGGGGTCTCAAGTTATAAAGGTAGTCCTTGACTTACGACCAGAACGGAGCCCAAAATTTCCACCGCTAAGCATTTAAGTGAATTTTGCTCAATTTTAGGACTTTTCTTGCCACAGTTGTTGTGAATCACTGCAGTTGTTGAGTGAATCCAGCTTCCCCATTGACTTTGATTGCCAGAAGGTCACAAAAGGGGATCACGTGACACCCCCCCAGGACACGCTGAGACCGCCATAAATACATGCAGGTTGCTAAGCGTCTGAATTCTGATCACGTGACTGTGGGAGAGGCTGCAACGGTCGCAAGTGTGAAAAATGGTCCTAAGTCGCTTTTTTTCAGTGCCGTTGCAACTTCTAACGGTCACTAAACAAACGGTTGTAAATTGAGGGCTACCCGTAAACCATCCCACAAACTATGAATATGTTTGGTCTGCAGCAGAGGCTGGCTGTGAGTCTGCTCCACGGCT